CACAGTGTAAAGGAAGGGTCAGGCTCAAGACACCCTTTCCCTTCTCATTCTCCTTTCTGCAAACACCCTTTCTCTCTCTGTCATGCCCTTCTCTCTCTCTGCGCCACCCACTCTCTTCCACTTCTCTTTCCATCTTCCTCCCCACCCTGCAGGCTGCTGTGGGAGGGACTGCTTGTTCCTGCTAGAGGTCTAAGGTGCTTGCTTGCAGATAGCTTCTGAAATTAGGCCAAGGGTTACATGAAATTAGGCTGAGGATTGCATGGTGCCCATTCTAAGACAGGCCCTTTCCTCCTCCAGCACCCATCCTTCCCACAAAGTAAGAGAAAATGTGTTTCCCATCGGGGATTCATCTGAATGTTTGCATTTGGGGGACCTGTTATGGATATTGCTTGCTGGTTGCTTCATCATATTGATCCAGAGGAGGGACATGAATTCGCTGACTGGCAGGCAGAAGCTGCCCAGTTCAGACCTCATCATCCTCAGCTAACATGGTGGTGGGAATGGCTTCTGCCTGAGAGGCCAGAGAGTGGCTGCTAGCTGGCCAAGACAATGTTGGATGCAGTGGCCAGAAATAATCCACCGAGTGGGAGAAGGCAGCGTCATGTATGACCAACCCATCAAGCGACATTTTGCTCCTCCAAAATAACCTCCAGAGTCTAATAACCATATTGGATGCAGCAGCAGGACTTTCAGAGCAGTCCTGAGCTGCCCCATGCGCTCAGCCGATGAAACTTAAAAATATATCCCAGAGTTTCAAGGTGGCAACATGGTGACATCACTGCATCTCAAGAGTGCATCTCTTCTCCTTCTTCACAGGCATAATTATCACATGACTGACCAGGAGGTGTTGGCAGAGTTTCTGTAGGCAGACCTGCCCTCGTTTCTGGCAAAAAAGTAGGCTGGCTTTACCTTTCCGGTCCGATTGACGTTGGACCATTGTGTGGTTGATTACCATCCTGTGTGTGACCAAACACAGAAGTCAGGTTGTGACTGACTAACACCCACTCCAAGCAGAGAAACAAACACCAGAGCATAGCTGGACTTGTGTGGAGTGACGTACCTGATGGCTCACCTGACGTGCTTCTCCACAGATAAGTGTCCCTCCCAATCAGAGCAATTACAGCCTTGGAACATGGCGGTACTTGTGACCTCTCACCTCCTAGTCCTCCCGCTGCACTTGTCGATCAAGTTTTATGACTTTGCTCCCTCCTTCCTCCTCCTGCTGTGGGTGTCACTAAATGATGATCGAGATTTTAAAAAATGATGCAGGAGAAGGAAGGGGGAACCATTTGGATGTAAATGCTTGGACTGAACTGAAATCACATAAATCCGGAATAGAAAAGGGAGCGTGTTAGAGAATAGTGTTCTGTTCCATACCTCTGTGAATGCCCATCTAATGTGCTTCTAATCACTGTTGGCGCAAGCAGGAAGAACAGGGACAGGAGGGGAAGATAATAGACCGGGGCCATGCAGTTTGTGGCCTCGAATAGCTACATGTGACCCTGTGCTTAATTGCACGCATCCTTCAGCCTAATTTAAAAGCTCACACATACAAACAGCAGGCAATCATTTCAGACCTCAGGCATGAGTAAGCTGCCCTTTCCTGATAGCTCATCAGATGGGAAGAAAAAGAACAAGGGAGAAATGGAAGGAGGCAGAGAGAGCAAGAGAAGGAGTTGGTGGAAAGGGAAAGGAGGGACCCAGCCCCTTTGGACTCCAGCTGGTGACACTCAGTGGATAAAAGTTTGCTTAGCCCAGTAACAGACTCTGTCCTGGGTAACCTGAAACTCTATTGTACACATTTCAGGCATACAGGCCATTTCTCTGTCCAAATGGATGTAAAACCATGCTAAAACAAAAGCAAATCACCATGGTAAACTAACTTAAATCTTAAAACAACAGCAACACTGATTGAAAGCCAACATGAGGAATGGACCACACCCTAAGTAGCTTTAGGACTTCAGACTAACAGTGAAATCTAGTGAACAGTGCCTGCATTCACACAACTTGACAAGCTACCCTGTATGGTTACCATGCTTTGCAGGGTGTTTTTTTTACCATGATCTACCTGATTATCAGGTGGCTTCTGCTTTATCATGGTTTCCATTCTCCCTGCTCTGTCCTCCCACTGTTGACGTGTATCCCATCAGCCACCATGCCTAAAATTGAAACCAAAGATGCCTTATTCTCTGGTTACATCATCTGCCACTTCCTCATTGGCCTACTCATAGAGGTTGGATGGCTAGAATGGGTCCTGGAATTGCCACTCTTTCTGGAGGACTCTGTGGAAACTATGATTCAAGCAACACAGCAAACTATGTTGTTACAGAGAAACCATAGAACAAAGTGTTGTTTCTTATCATGGTTTTTGAAGACCAAATTTATGGTGAAATCCATGAGTGATTTCAGACAACACAGCAGATGAACAATGGTAAAAAAGAACCCTGACATCATGGCTTGTCATGTACTTGGAACCAAGCCAGTATGTTTACAATTAAGCCCATTGGCATTTGACCTCCAAATAAGAATGTAGATCAGACTTCGCCAGCTTTCCACGCTCCAGGGGTGTTAAGACTCATAATTTCAAAATCAGTGTTGGCCAGGGATAAAGTTGTAGTCCAACCCAACTGGAAGGCACTAGGTTTGAAAAGGCTGATGTATAAGATTGTAGTTGGTTAGAATTGCCTTCACTCTTTTAAGGCAGCCCTAAAACCATTTCTAAGCAGGAAAAATGGAAGGATTTAATAGCGGGATGATAGACTTGACAGAGCTTAAGTTCATCATGTTTCATCTTTTCTCCTTGGAACTGAAAGTCTTCAGAGACAGATTGGCTGTGCATTACTTGGCAAAAGTTGGCAGAAGCACTAGCTTTAGGAGCCTGCTGAAATACCTTCTTATTCATCATCACTTAGGCAATACCTGAAAGCAGTCTCCTAAGCCGCCCCGAGGTTTCGGCAAGGGGCAGCATAGAAATATAATAATGATGATGATGATGATGATGATGATGATGATGATGATGATGTTTATTTTAACCATAGCCCTTCTCAGCCACTTGGCTTAGGGCTTCTGATTTTCTTAATATGATACTAGTTTTGATGATGATGATGATGCCTGTGAAAAGTTTCATGAATTGCAGTGGAGCAACTGGGACAATACAGACATTGTCTGGAAGCACCCAGAACAACCCATGGAAGACTTGGCATCTGCACTGTGAGACAATGCAATGATTTCAAAAGAATATGAGGGTGGAAAGGAAAGAGGCAGCCACTGCTGAGCCACACAGTTTTCACGGAATCCGATATGCATGGTGCCTGGGATATTCACACATGGTCATGTGTCCTCTTTCACAGAGAGGCTGCCTGGTTGAAAGGCTGTCCTGTCCAAGTTTGATCTAACGTTAAGAACCCATCAGAAAGAAGAGCTGGGCTTTGAAGTTGCCTATCAGCAGCTCATGGACAGGGAAAGCAAAGCAAGCAAGGCACACGGGCCATCTGGCCGCAGTCTTCCAGACTGTGATAGAAATGCACCGTATTTACATTAAAATTAAAGTAATAATGTCTAAATAGGCACCTTGCCATATAAATTAACATATGCAAATCTTATGCAGATTTCTTCTCTCTTTTTTTTGGCAATTCAGAAGCAGCCCTCTGAGGGGAGATTGCAGAAGCATTCTAAATGAGCAGCAAACAGCTGACCTTCCCCAGCTATGAAAGGGCTGGAGATGTGTGGAAGAAGCCTTGTTCCTGGGCAAGAGCAACACAGGCCAAGTCTTATAGACAAATGGCCAGCCCTAGTTATCTGAGCATTGTTTATTCAAAATGGGTGGGTCATGCAGTTCTTGTAAACAGATTCCATCCGAACTAGATGAATGGAGGAGCTGATGGGGATGGGCTTCAGGTAGGGGCAAACCACGGGGAAAAGGGGAAGAGTGTAAACAAAACCACCAGACCATTCTTCTGCAGCAACCTGGCTGAAACTGGTTCCAAGTCATTCCTATACAGCTTGGGCAGGAGATCTTTCCAATGGCTCATGTCCTAATTCTTCATGTTATTCTACAAGAGTGCTCAAGGAGGACCATGTGGGTGGCCCAGTGAATAGATCCAGCTAGTGCTGCTGTCCTAAGAAAACTTTTGTTTTTTAACGGCGTGCGGTTGAGCCAACACTAGCTGCCTTCCAACAGATGCTCCCCCGCCTTTATTTTTTCCAGCCTCGTGACCATTGTGACATATTCCCTGTCTGCATGCCTGATGCTGAGGTAACGCACAATAACAGATCACTCATTTGGGAGCCATTGAGCAGCTTGCTTGGAAGGAATTACAGGGCTGATTTACTTCATTTGGGATGGGGGAATTAATGGGAGCCGGCTGAACAGATCTTCCAGGAATCACTGGCAATTCTTCTCACCAGCAAAAGCAAGACCAAGGGCAGTGCACTGTGCAAACTTCTCATTAGAAGTCAGTTCTGTCATGCTCAGTGGGACTGGCTTCCCACTAAGTGTATATAGGTCCGCTACCCAAAGGTATCCCGGGGTCCACAATGCTTCATATGCCAGCAAATGCTATGTGAATGGTAATGTGCTAATCCCACCAGTCCAATATATCATGAAGGAACAAACGGATGAAAGTGCAGAGACAGGGGGCAGTGAAAATCATTTCCCTGTATGGCCTTCTGTTGGTTCTGGCTTGTGATTTATGTTCGAGGCAGCTCAGATGTGCAGAATCAGAGACAGCGGGAAGCAATTTCTTCCAGACCTAAGAGATCTGGTGAGCACATGAAAATCTCTCTTCCCCAGTGGGCTCTCCACTGACTTAGAGGGCCATCTGTGAACATGGAAAAGGAAGCACACTGAGTCTACCCACATGGTATGTACCAAAGGTTGCTCACACAGAGACTTGCCATGAGCTGTAGAAGAAGAACATGATCTTTAGGCCATAGTTAACTACTTTGTTAACTACATAGTCAACTCTGAGAAACAAGAATAATACATATTTCCCCCCAAATTTCCAAAATGTGGACAAACCTCATTTATTCACATAACGTGGCTGAATGTAAGGATAATACATTTTTTCTGCAGCCTATTATGTGCAGGAAGCTGGGGTGGGAGGGAGGAAGAGAGCCTGCAAATGGGAGTACAATAAAAATGAACTACACAGAAGATTCAAGAGTTCAAGGTAAAGGTTAGGTCAATGTACTTTGTTATAAAAATGTGTAAGAACGTTATTCTCTTATGCTTTCTACAAACTTTAAAAGGCATTATATGCTCAATCTACATTTTCTATTTACAGTTCTCTGCATATGAAATTTACCTTGTGACTGAAAGCAGAAAGTAAAGCAGGATTAGAAAAACATGCATTTAACCGCTCTCTGTGTGTACATTTACACACACACACACACACCAGCAACATAACATGGCAAGTAAAAAATGGCAGCTTAGCTGACCAGCTAAGCAATGCTAGGATAAAGGAGATGCACAATGGACATAGCAACCTATTTCTCAAAAACCATTAATTAGTAGAGAAAGAAAGAGAAGCAACTCCAGGTTGCTGAAATGCTACTGGATGAAGGCCAAGATTGTAACTATGACCATCAGTAGGATAAAAGTGTTGACCTAATTATTCGTTAGAAAGGCTATGAAACTGAACAATTGGGCTGGGGAAAATACATCAATCACTTGCCAGAATAAGCCCTGTCTGTACTGCTCTTGTCTCCTTTACCAGAAAGTTTCCAAATAAAGCCGTAATCATGATGCTGGTGAGGTCTAAATCTTTAGGGGCAATGCAATTTGCTCTGCTTTAAACCTGTTTAGCTTTCGTGGCTCGTCTGGGATCTGGCTGAGAATTCCCTGTCAAAAGATCTCTGACCCTCACAGACCGACAGCTCTCCTTGGATCCCTGGAGAGGAGCAAACAGTAACCACTCAGTAACATCACTTCTGTTTGTAGTGCAGGCAAGCCTTTGGCTCTCTGTTGCTCAAAAAACAGCCCACCAGTTACTTCAAGTACATGGAATTTGTCCCTTCCCCTCGCAAGATGACTGCAACTATCACAAATAGAGTAGGGGTGAAAGGAAAATTATATTGCAAGGACCCCTGTAGAATAAGCCTCTTTAACAGACCCCTGTCACAAAAGCCTGGGCAATTTTTGGTCATACTGTGATGTTGCCAACAAATGCCGTGCATTCACTTATGAGTGCTGCAGCTGACACACTTCTCAGGCTCACAGGTTATCCTGCCAGAATGAGATCCGTTCACTTATATGGGAGAAAGGAAGGTGGTGGAACAAGCACTATTAGGCAGTGGAAGTAAATCTGCTCTCTGCTTCTGTCTCCACAGCGCCAGTTTGGGTGCTCTTTTCTGCCTCTCCTTGGGTCCTTCTAGGCACTCTAGACTACAGCCCCCATCTGCCTCAGCAGCAAGGCCAGTGGTCAGAGAGGATGGGAGGTGTCCAAACCATCTGGGGAGACCCAGGTTGGGGACAGTGCTCTAGAGCAAGGGTGGGCGATTCGTAGGTGAAAAAACTGGAGGGCCACAACTCCCCTTAGCCACAGTCAGCATAGCCAGTGATGCAGCAGGATGATGTGAGTTGTAGGCCACAACATCTGGAGGGCTGCAAGTTGCCCACCCCTCCTCTAAAGCACAATGGGATGGGCAGATTGGCTTTCAAGCCTACAGGCTTAGAGATGTGCAAAGGTCCAACGGATACGAAGGGCAGAGGCAGGTGTGTCAGTTTCTGTTTCCTAAAGCAGATGAACCAGCAACGCTGCAGGTGCAATGCACATCCACACGAGTGCTCGGTCTGCGAGGCTGGGCTCAAATCACTTGCCAGAAAAAAGCCATTCATAACAGACGGATACTGTGAGGGAGGTTATTTAGTCTGGGAGCTCAGGACCAACCAGTAGCCTCTAATTATTTCACCAACACTAGACTCTTCAAGTGGGCCATCTTTCAACCACTGGGCTGAAGCAAACTGGCGCCCGTCTTCCACCCATGGGCAACGCTCTCAGCTTTTGGGATCCGGGAGCTCTCTGAAGCCATTGTCCTCATTCTCTTCAGAGGGTGACAAGGCAAGGACATTGGTGACAGGATGGATCCAGGATGTAGTCTGTGTCACATGACTGGAAAAGAACAATACAGAATTAAACTGAGGGAACAACTCCAGACTGTCCCCAACAATACAACAGATCACATGGTCCTGTCTGGCAGGCGGGGCAGTCCTGCCTGAGGAGCAATCTGTCAAGATGGAGGCCCCCTCCTCTGTGACAGACCTGGGGAGGGGAGAGGAGGGGAGGGGAGAGGAGGGGAAGCACAGCCCCACAGACACTTGGGACTAGTGTCTGTTGAGGGCAACCAGCCAATCTAGAGAAACAAGGCAGTGGGTCTGATCTAAGCCCTATTCCTTGGCCCTGTTCAAGGGTTGGGCAGCTGTGTCCACTAAATGCACGAAGAGTGTGGCTGATCCAGCTTCACACCCTTCCTCACCCATCTCTGTCTCCCTCTATCTGTGCAGGGTGGCTTTCTGAAGAAGGGACCCTCCTGCATTTGTGGAGACACCATTGAGAACACTGGAAAATCCATACCAGGCTTTCACCACATGGATATACAGTTGGGCCACCTTTTAAATCGCCCTACAAAGTGTTACAATGGGCCAGCGATCATAGCCAGCTTGGTTCTTTTGTTTCTCCTGACCGTGGGTTCTGTATGTTAAATCTTGTTTTTTAACTGTGAACATTTGGGCCACGCAAAAATGAAGCACCCTTTATATCTCCCTAGTCTACCAAATCAAATTAGGCAAGAGGTCAGGGAAGATCTCAGTTACCTGCTCATTGTACACAGCACAATCAGGCACATGGTTACTCACTGAGTTAAGAGCAGTGTGTATAAGATCACGCCTGGCAATGTGACCTTAAACAAGCTGACTGAAGGCGCAACTCTTTAGTCACCTCACTTCAGGTCGGCTGGGTTGGGCATACTGGGAACCGTAGGCCTTTTCCCCTGCCAAAACATGCCTAGGATTGCACCCTAAGCTTATAAAACTGAGCCTGGGTATGCTAAAGGACGACATGATTGTCAAGACGGGAATCTCTGGATTATACAACTGCTTCATATATGCAAATAATGAGGGCTGTGGGGAGAAGCAACCCAGAAAGGTTTCTCTTGATTTGATTTAGTAGCTCTGGCTGCACACTGCTTAGCAATTTATTGATCAGAAATAATTTTAAAGACACGAGATTTACATGGGGGCCAATCCGGTGTATTTAATTGTGCTGCTGCAAACACTCATCAGATGCCGGTCCAGTACAGCTGTGCTGACTGACAGTTCAAGACACAGAATAAACACTGAGCACTTCAAGAGGAGGCCATTTTCCTGCCATTGCCCCATCACATTTGCCAAAGGTTACAGGACAATGCAAATGCAGTCTTCTGTGCATTTATGTGTGTTTTCCTACACTTCTTACTAGAGACAATCTGTTAGAATGAAAAGATGGAGGAGCTGCACAGGAACCTCTGACTGGCATCTCTAGGAGCCCTCCCTCGGGAAGCGCCTCTCTCTTCATGTGCTTCGCTTACACAGAACGGACGAACTCATTGGGTGCATTCATTCTTGGGGGCAGGACAAAAGATGGTTTTCTCCGCTTTGTGGGGATCAGGCGCAGGTGATAATAAGGCCTGCTGGCTGTTCTTTGCCCTGGGCTGGAGTTCCCACAAGCATGGCTGCTTGGGATGAGCCAGGAACCCCGAAGGCAAAGTCCTTTTGCCTTATCCCCTTTTGCCTATCTGAATAAAAATGGGCAGTCAGGAAGTAAGCTAGGGAAACATGAATGCAAGTCACCCTTGTGGAAATTAGGTAAAGAGGGGACCGCTCTCCCACGGATCACCCGCAACTGCCGTAAGAGCCTGCACAGAGGCATTCTGGGAAGGCCTCCCTTCCTCTGAACAGCCATGCATGCCTCCTGAGGGAGGCCGCCTCAGGCTTTCATTTGAGTTCCATTCCACTGCAATGTTTGTGTTCCACTTTTCTTTCAAAACGATTAACGATAACATACCACAGCAAGGACAATAACGCTGAAACAAACAATCTGGGGGAAATGGCTATGGCCACCTATAAGTAACATTTTAATCTAATGCCATGTGCACAGTTGGGAGGGTAATTAACCATGCAACGAATAAACAATATAAAACTGCTAAGCATTTAAGTCAGTAAAATTCCTACTGTCCAAATATATCAATAAACAACAAGGGGATAATAAAAGACAGCACATGCTTGAGTCAGACGCGGCCGCTCGTCAAGGCCCGTGCTGGCAGCCCTGATGGAAGGGTGTGCCCAAGCCACTCGGCAGCCTGAAGCAAAAACGGTCAGTGGTGCTTTCCTGCCATCCATCTGCAGAAGCTGCTGCAGCTCTTCTGCAGTGCCATAGGGTTAGAGCCGGGCAGCCAAGATGGCATCCTCTACCGACCTCCCCTGGCAGATGAGGGCACAGTGACAAGGGCAGCCCGCACAGACCCACCAGCTCTGCCCTCCAGTCCCCCAGCACCACTCACACCAGTTCCTGTTCTGTGTGGCAGCAGGGCCGTCTGCCTGATAAAGACAAGCATCCAGCTGCTGCTGAAGCAGGAGATGCAGCAGGTGACTAGCTATAGGGTACAGGGCCTCTCACGTGCTGCATGAAGATGCTTTCAGGGTGTACTGGCGTGTTGTGGTTGCTGTTAGTCGCAAAGTTGTGTCCGACCCATCGCGACCCCATGGACAACATTCCTCCAGGCCTTCCTGTCCTCCACCATCCCCCGGAGTCCACGTAGGCTCACACCAACTGCTTCAGTGACTCCATCCAGCCACCTCATCCTCTGCTGTCCCCTTTTTCTTTTGCCATCTACTGTTCCCAGCATTAGGTTCTTCTCCAGTAAGTCCTTCCTTCTCATTAGGTGGCCAAAGTTTCATCTTCAGTATCTGGCCAAGAGCAGTCAGAGTTGATCTCCTCTAAGACAGACTGGTTTGATCTCCTTGTGGTCCAAGGGACTCACAGGAGTCTCCTCCAGCACCACAATTCAAGGGCCTCAATTCTTCTGTGCTCAGCCTTCCTTATGGTCCAACTTTCACAGCCATACATTGCAACTGGGAAAACCATAGCCTTGAGTATAAGCACTTTTGTCGGCAGTACTGGCATGAGATTATTCTTATAGCTTTATTAATTACAATATTGATAGGACATAGTCCAAGGGACTCAAGGTCTCTTCCATAATGCTCCACCACCTCTCAACCTGTTCCTCACAACAATCCTCTGAAGTAGATCATGCTGAGAGTTAATGATGGGCACAAAGCCACCAAGTGAGCTCCATGACCAAGTGGGGACTCGAATTTGAGTCTCCTGGATCCCAGTCCAACACTTTCACTGCTGTACTACACTGGCTCTTCCCAAGGGATCTTCCCATGCCCCAGATTTGGTTCCGTGTGTGTGTGTGTTTGTGTGTAATGTGAACACAAACAGAAGTGCAAGAGGCCATTCCACAAAGATGCATATGACGATGTGGTGTTGGCCAGGAGTGGAGTCCATATGGGGCCTGCCTCCCCTCAGCCCCAGCCACCGTGGCCAGTGATCAGGCAGCTGTGCTCCACTGCAGCGCAAAATCATCTCAGCACAGCCTGGGATTGCCTGCATTCCTCCAGTGGACTGGAAATGCATCCTGGCGTGTCTGTGCACTTCAGCAAGCACCGGATGAGCACAGCAAGCGCAGCCCCTGCCTAAAAACAGTTCACATGGTGGCATTACCGAAAGACCAACGGAAGGCAACACAAGTGAGTGATCATTGCAAAAGAACACAAAACCAGGTGCATCGTTTGCCCCATTGCTCTCATGCACAGCCTGTCCATTGACACCAATGGAAAGACAATCGTCTTTTCCACAGCCATGGCTGAAGGTGAGCTGTTGCATCACTGAACTACAGCCCTGACGTACTGCTGTGGAGGGATCACTATGTTCTGAGGAGGATGAGTGAATTGTGACACCAGCCTAGTGTTACATTGAGCATGATGGATAGTGAGGTGTGTGGCGGTCATCTTGCCATAACCAAGCGCTCTGTGTGAATCCAGAGCAAGGAATATCTGTTCATCAACCTGATCTGCCTTAATTAAATCAGCCCATCTCTTGAGCAAATATATCTTAGCACTACAGTCAGGGCTGAAGCTTTTGCAAGGCTCACTATCTGAATGGCGATTAGATGAGATCAGTAGGACAACTATGGGTGGCTGAGGTCCGTCGTTCCACCTTACTGCAGTCTCAAATGCTTGCGGGTTCCATAGGCGTGCTCAGAATAAATTATGTGCATTCGCTGAAAACTATGATAATCACACAGTAAAGGTGCTCACATTTATTTGCTAACTTTTCTATCACTACTGCTAGTTTTTCATTTCAGTTCCACTTTTTTCTCCATTAAGAATTCACAGCATATCCCATTCATAAACCAAATTCAGTACAACCAATAAAACATTGAAAACTGTCGTGTTAGTAAAGCATGCTAAAATAACCACAGCATCAACAGTTGGAAACTAGAATTAGTATCTAATTAATTAGTCCCAAATGGTTCATTCTACATCATGCAAACAACAGGAGCTTTGAAGCATTGCTCCTTTGTGACAAACTACTCACCAAGGACTTGGAACTTGAGAAAGCTGAAAAGTATGAGTAGCATCATTTTACAAGGCTAATACAAGACCTGCTTGCTTCTCGAAAGCAGACAGTCTTTGCATTTTGGCCACTCAGCTAGTTGTTAATGGAAAGTAAACTTTCATCAAGATGATCAAGCAAGGAAAGCAAGGGAGCTTTCATAAACTAGAAAAGGAATGCTATTAGTACTGTTCTCACAGCACTTTGAAAGCCTTTTATAACTTAATAATTGCCAGGCAAACCAGTACAAATGTTCGCAAGCTGGAACCATGGGAGATGTATAAGGAAGAGAGTGGACCTCCATGGAAAAAGCCCCTTGCTCTCTGCCCTAGCAGATTCCAGCACATGGGCAGAGCTTCTTCACTGGATCTTGCTATTTGCTATCCTTCCGTACCCTGGAACCCTTTTAGAGGTACTGGGCAACTTCCACCATGCTGGAGTTGTAGTCCAGCACC